TAGTGAACCTCTGTTTTGGGGAAAGCAAGCACAAAGCACAGGGATATCCCCCATGATGCTGACATCGGTTGAGGTGTTTATTGAGGAAGAGAGAAGACCTCTTAAATCTTTCTCCTCAAAAGTATTGTGTTTAAGGAGGCACCTTATGCTTCTTGCAAGAAGCTAGTGAATTCAGGGTAATTAGGGGAATACTTCTAGAATGGAGCAATGAGAAGACAAGTACCTCTTAATGGTGATTAGATAAGGCTAGTTGATGAAGGGTCTCGGAATACTGGCCTGTGGAGTTTGGGGCTTAATATAATAGGCAGCAGGAAATTGTTCTAAGTTCTTGAGCAGGACTATGTTATAATTGAATTTTGTTATGTGTTATATTTAAAATTTGTTATAATTGAAATGTGAAATTTTTTATAACTGAAATTTGGCAACTTCTTAGCAGGTTTGGATAGAAACTTTGGTCCTCCTTAAGTTAGAGGTTGGTTCATTACCTTAAAAATGAAGATGTTGCCCTAGCTGGTTTGGCTCAGTGGACAGAGCGTCAGCCTGCAGATTTAAGGGTCCCAGATTTGATTCTGGTCATGGGTATGTACCTTGTTTGCAGGCTCCTCCCAGGCCCTGGCCCTGGTCAAGGGTGTGTAGGAGGCAACTGATCGATGTGTTTCTCTCACATCGCTATTTCTCTCTGTCTTTTCCTCTCTCTCCCACTCTCTCTACAAATCAACGGAAAAATATCCTAGAGGATTTAAAAGGAAGAAAGAGAAGAAAAAAAAGAAGAGAAGAAAGAAAATGTCCTTGTTTGGTTCATTTTCACCATTGCTACTGGAGCAAAACACTGTTATGCGTTTTCCTCTGACTTTTACATAGCAGTAAATCTGGAGGCTGGTTTTAAATTGTGTTTTTAGTGTCTAAGGAAACTTTTTCCTCTCAGTAGACTCTGTCATCAGAAGAAACTTGAACTAGTCTTATGGGTGTTTCTACATGTTTATTGTGTTTAAGAGGACAGACAGCCATCCATATCAGAGAAGCTTATAGCAAAGGCTTATTTCTATTAGGTGGGACCAAGGGCCATTGTGGGACTCTCTCTAATCTTTGAGTGCTTCCTGCTGTTGCCAGCACAGCTCTTCCTTAAAGCCACCCTTAATAGCTGCTATGGGAGCAGTTTCAAGCAGCTATCCTTAACACATCATCATTGGTCTTATCTTATTCTTTAGCTGTTTCATATGTTTTCTCCAACAAAATTAACTCCTATTTCTCTTGTTCTTCATTTGTTAGACCCATAAAAACTTGTTGGTTGACTGAGTGTACTGATCAAAGAACAACAACAAAAAACATAGCAAGAAAGTTATTGGGCAGACTTGGAAGCAGAGTATTATATAGATGATCTGTCCACATTACCAGTGTGTAAGGCAGAGCCCTGCCATGGAATCTGTCTGGTTTTTTACTAGCTCCACTCATGAACCTCTTTTGAGTTTTCTCAAGTGAATTGAAGTCTCTGTCATTATCATTGTCCCTCCAATGAACTAGCATGCTAGGAATGGGGGATGGTACATGACACACCAGCCCAGCCTGGCACTGCTGGCTATTGCTGGTCAGTACCACCATGTGGTCTGTGGGACATGTCGGAGTCCAGTCATCTAAACCAGCTATGGAAGCCTGAGGCCAGTTAAGAATTTGGTAGAGGGGCACCTATCATGACGATGCCTCTTCAGGTGGCAGAAATGAAGACTTAGTGGGGACAGGGTTGTATATATGAAATTTACAAGGGAGAAAAGCAACTTCCAACCCCCTGGGAAGGGAAAGGCCTCTTGGTATTTTGAAGACAAAGGGGAGTTCTGTTTGCAGGAGTGTATGGATATAATTATTCCAAGATACAATATCAATGGAAACTACTAGGGAGTTTTAAAAACAGTTAGCTTATGTGAATGACAGATCCAGTCTTTCATTAAGATAAATTAGTGATATATGAGGATACTCTTGATTTTTGAGGTTGATATTGGGAATTACTCCCAAATCTTCCCATACTTATTCCTGTCAGAGACAGACCTCCAACTTACTGCAATGATGGGACTAACCGGGGGGATATTTTGTATCATAACTGTTAAAGACAGGCATGATGGGTTGTAGTTCACAAGATTCTTAGCTGCTGGCTCTCTAAGCTTCCCCTTACTCAGAGTAGAAAGGCCTACTAGTCCCACATCTGCCTTCCCAACCACACCCACTCACTAGTGACAACAGGCTGCCAGTAGCCTCATCTCTGGAGAACAATACAATGGGCCTGTTGTGTACTTGTTGACATACAGAGTGGATTGTTTTAGCAGGTGCAGAAGATAGGCTGTGTGGAGATTACAGAGACCTTTATCCATGATGGTGTAGCGTAATTCAAATCTAAGTTGTTCTTTGTCTGATTGACAAGCAGGTGTTGGAAGGGGACTTAGTTCAGCTTGGGCGAGTCCTTCTGTGCATGGATGCAACATTAATTTGTGTGTGCGTGCATGTGTGTGTGTATCTGTATATGTGTGTTTGTTCTACTCTCTCCGTATTTTTTCCTTGTAATAAAGCAATTTACATTCCCTTTGGTGTCCAATGAGATGGCTCTGATTTTTCTAAGGCTTTTGATTGGAGACTGTACACCAAGGCAGTGTGAGTCCTGGAGACATTACTTCTTTGTTTTCAATAATGATCTTAGGAAGATGGCTGATTTCTGTTAGCATGGTGATTTCACTTGGCTTGTTCATGAACTGGAGTCTTGTGTTTTTACTGTGGCCTTTGGGTCCCTGATAAGTAGAGGGGACTTTAATTTCTGAATTTACTTCTTGATTATCTGTGACCGTGAAGGGGAACAATGAAAAAGAGGCTACTCCACAAGCTCCTTAATTACCCTAACAATGAAAAAGAGGCTACTCCACAAGCTCCTTAATTACCCTGAACTCAGTTAGCCATATCCTTCATTTCCCTAAACATTTTCCCCTACCCTTGGCCTTTAGGAGAAGGAAGTCAACCATACAAAAGCAAACTATGACCAAGGATTTTCTTAAAAAACAAATAAGCAGGCAAGCAAACAAAAAGCCACAAAAATCATTTTGCAAGTTCATTATATGTGTTCAGCTTCATAACAAACAGCTCCGCCTATAGTATAGTTGGCTTGCACTGTGTGGCAAGAAAGCAGGGAGGATCTCCTGGGGACTGTTCCAAAACTGCGGTGAATGTACAACCCGGGGTTAAACATTTAGAGTGGACAGCAGCTTACTTGATCCCCATGCCAATGAAGTAAGCCTTTTTCCTTAGCTTACTTTCTCCGCTCTCCCTCTGGCCCTTGCTTATTCAGTTATAGTCTGCCTCCAAGAGAAGATCTCTGTGTTGAAGGAGAAAATGTGCCAGGAGGAGGAGAATAAAAATAGGTCAGTGGTAACTCTCATCACACATTCCCATTTATTTGGTTGGAAATTTACTTTGACTCAACAAGTATTTGTTGATAGCTTCTTTATTCACATACTTGCATTAGGCTCTGGGAGATATAGAACTGTGATGATAATGTTAATAGCTGGCATTTACTTAGCATTTACTGTGTGTCAAGTGCAGTTCTAAGCACTTTATATTCATGCATCTGATCCACACAATGACCCCATGAAGTTCTATTATTATCTTCATTTCACAGATAAAGGGACTGAAAGTAACTAAGACACCCAGCTAGGACCTGGTAGAGCCAGAATTCAAACCCAAGCATTCCTGTTCCAAAAAGAGAAGATTCTTGCTCCTATGAAGCCCAGCTGGGGGAGATGAGGTCAACATAGTAAAAAACAGAAAACAGTACAAGGCTCTGGCAGTGAGGATGACGTGGACAGATTAGTGCAGCTTAGGTTAAGCCTTTTGGAGGAGACAAGACCTTTCTACATACCAGATTCTTCATTTATCAAATGGGTATAATGGAAGAGTCATAGATTTAGTGTGAGAATTGGATGATATCATGCATATAAAAAGCTTAGTGCCGTGCCTGGCATATCGTGAGTGCTCAGTAAATTATGATTGTGATGATGACAATAATGGCATTGATGTCTCTGGGACCTGAAAGATGAGTAGGGTTGAGATATCCAGAGAGGAAGAGGTATGGCCTTCTAGGTGAATTATGAAGAAAGAGGGGAGCAAACATGATATTGGGAAGGGGTGCTCAGGAGAAACAATTTTCTTATTTCCTTATGGTCACTAGTTACCTACTAGCTGAGCTAATTGAGGAGAGAAGAGGAATGGGTGTTGCAAAGTCAGTCAGCAGCCCTGAAGCTTTAAAAAAATATTTTCATTGATTTCTGAGAGGAAGGGAAAGGGAGAGAAAAATGGAAACATCAATGATAGGAGAGAATCATTGATTGGCTGCCTCCTGCATGCCCCACACCGGGGATCGGGCCCACAACCTGGGCACGTGCCCTGATCAGGTATTGAACCATGACCTCCTGGTTCATAAGTTGATGCTCAACCACCGAGCCATGCTGAAGCTTTTTATTGGCCTTGAAGCATGCTGAACATGCTCTGTGTCTGACACTTGGACCTTTCTTCATGATAAGTCCTGATCTTTCCTTCCTCCTCCTGGAGCTCAGGCCTAATGCCATATGGGTGCCTAGGAGAAGCTCAAGACATTCCCAGAATGAGAACAACCTGTGATGCTTGCAGGTCCAGGCTCGGTGGCTTCCCTGATCTTAACAGTTGTGAGCCTTTCCTAAGGCACAGAGGAAATGTGACTCCCGGCAGGCTGACAGGAGGGCCTGGGCTTGGGGGAGGAGAGGTCCCTTGAGGCTGTCTTCTGTATGTTATAGATGGCATCAATCAGTTAAGTATTTGTTGAGCTCCCGTTAGGTACGGAACCACTGTTAGGAGTGTTGGGTGTTTCAAGTGAAGTAAAAAGCATGGTCCCTGCCCTCGAGGTATTGCTTGTTTTGTTGACATACTGGTAACAATTCGTGGTCCATATAAGATTAGGTATAACTAAATGTTCAATTGCGTGCTTTCTCCAGATGCCGTTACTTGGCTGTCCAGCTCTCTCCTGCCATCCCTGTGTTTGCTGCCATGCTCTTCCTTTTCTCCATGGCTACACTGTTGAGGACCAGCTTCAGTGACCCTGGAGTGATCCCTCGAGCCCTACCAGATGAAGCAGCTTTCATAGAAATGGAGATAGGTGGGTTTTCTAACCAGCTGGAAAGATGCTGTGCTTTAATTAGTAAGGGAATGGCATCAGAATAGTGGTTGCAGATTAACAATCATTTCTAGGCTTTTCCCTCTGAGATCCTGAATCTGAGATCATGCCCACCCTGTGCATTTGCTAAGGCAGCTGAAGCAAGGTTTGAAAGTCATGCTTCCTTTTGTGTGTGTGTGTGTTGGGTTGCTTTTCGGGAGGGATTTGTTACCGAGGTCTGCTGCACTGTTCCCAAGAGGATGGTTATTTTATTTATTTATTTATTTATTTTTATTTTTTAAATATATTTTATTGATTTTTTTACAGAGAGGAAGTGAGAGAGATAGAGAGTCAGAAACATCGATGAGAGAGAAACATCAATCAGCTGCCTCCTGCTGCACATCTCCTACTGGGGATGTGCCCACAACCCAGGTACATGCCCTTGACCGGAATCGAACCTGGGACCTTTTAGTCCGCAGGCCGATGCTCTATCCACTGAGCCAAACCGGTTTCGGCTTATTTTATTCTTTGGGCATCATCAACCCATTTGACTTTTTCATGAAAGCTATAAACCTTCTCTTAGTAAAAATGTCCTTACATACATGCACATACATACAATTTTGTATGTAATTTCAAGCATTCATAGAACTTTTGAAGCACATTCATGGGTCCATGACCAAGAATTCCTGCTTTAGGAGAACACACAAGGTGAGAGGGGTCAACTATGGTGCCAGGAACCATTGAGAAGTCTAGAAATGATAAGGAAGCAGTTACACTTTCATTACAGAGCAGTCTGCAGCTAAGGGTAGGACTCTCTGGGATAGAGATAGAGTATTACACTACCTAGGAGCCAGGGTGGCTTCAGGAATGGAAGCAGGACATCCCAGGACTAGAGAGGATAGATATTCTGGGAACTCACACTGGGAAAGAAGGCCACGATGCCAGTACTAGGAGGAACTGGGAGCCCACCAGACCCAACAGCTGTGCCTGCCTAAATTGTTCTCAATTCCAGTACCCAAGTAGCTTGAGTCAGCATAAAAGCCAAATACAGTAGGAGAAAGGGACCCAGGACTTATAAGACTAAAAGCTACATCAGTTGAGCAGCAGTCTGTGATTAGCCTTTAGTTCTTTTAGGGTGTGTGTTTGCTTGTTTTTTTTTTTTTAATTTTAACATTATTTTATTTAATTCAAAACACAAACCTGTTGGGGTTCTAATAGGTATTACATTTATTTGTTTATTTATTTATTTATTTATTTATTTATTTTTATTTTATTTATATTGCTACCAGGGATCGAGGTCGCAACTTGGGCATGTGCCCTTGACTGCATTGAACCCGGGACCCTTCAGTCCATAGGCCGATGCTCCATCCACTGAGCCAAACCTGTTAGGGCTACAGTTATGTATTATTTTTGAGAGAATTTACATTAAAATATATTTGTATTGATTTTGAAGAGGGAGAGGGAGAGGGAGAGAGAGATGGAAATATCAATGATGAGAAAATCATTGGTCAGCTGCTTCCTGCACGCCCCCTACTGGGGATCGAGCCCATAACCTGGGCATGTGCCCTTGACTGGAATCGAACCTGGAACCCTTCAGTCTGCAGGCTCTTTCCACTGAGACAAATTGGCTAGGGTGAAAATTTACATTTTTATATTATCTGCTTATCCAAAAAATAGTGTCTTTTATATTTTCAGATTGAATTTTATGTCCATTAATAATTTTATATATATATATATAATTTCAGAGAGGAAGGGAGAGGAAAAGAGAGATAGAAACATTAATGATGAGAGAGAATCATTGATCTGCTGCCTCCTGCATGCCCCACACTGGGAATTGAGCCCGCAACCTGGGCATGTGTCCCAACTGGGAATCAGACTATGATCTCCTGGTTCATAGGTTGACCCTCCACCCCTGAGCCATGCTGGCCGGGCTAAAAAAATTATTAATTGACTTGTCTTTGTGCATGTCACAGCAGGTTCCTTAGCAAGGTTAGCTCTGTTTTGCCAGATCACTGGGTTTGGGGGCCAAGCACGAGACATCATATTTGTGACCTCTACATTTAACATGCTTCTCTCGATAGAAGAGTGCATTCTTGAGTTCATACCCATGCATATGTTTATTTTTATGCTAACAAGTTTTTGTCAACTTACATTCAGTTTTCAGCCCTGTACAGCAGGTCCTTGAATAACATTGTTTTATTCAACATAGTTTCATTATAACATGGATGAGATACCGTAGGAACTTAACTCTTGTTTATATTAATTAGCCTATGGTAAAATTGGTTTTATTATATGTCATTTCATTTAAAGTCTCAGAACCTATCGAAGATGCTAAGTGAGAACTTACTGTACTGGGTATGCTATGGGTGAGGAGAACCGAGAGAAGAAGGCGGGTGATTCCCTTGCATCATAGCACTTCATAGGGAGGATGAACCATGAACTCTGTCTTCCAGGTGCCTTCATGTAAAGCGCATACAAAGGAATATTAAGGTGGCAGGTGCCATGCTGGTACTCATATCCTCTAATGAACAGCCATCCCCATCCTTGTAAGACTTGTGAAACACTGTTATTGTTTGATTTCACAGCAGCCACCCCACTCTGCAAAAAAGGGAAAAATGTTACATATGGCAGATATTTTTAAAATCAAAATGAATTAAAAAATTATGTTTTTAGAATTACCCTGCATAGGGAGAGTGCAATAAGACAGGCACTCTCATATGCTGCAGATGGGCGGCGTGCAAATCTATCAATTTGGGAAGCAGTTTGGCAATAGTAATATGGGCTTTAAGGGTTCATACCCTTTGACCCAGTAATTCCACTTCTGTCTGGGTTTAGCTAAAGGAAATAGACAGATTTACACAAATTACTGTAGAAGGATTTTTTGTGTATCATTTTTCTTTTTCTTTTCTCTTTTTCATCTTAATATGGCACTAGCTATTTTAATGCTGGCAACTTCATATATTACTGCTCAGACTTCAACATGCTTTTCTTTTTTCTTTATGTTTTAGAAATTAATTTTAACACATGAATGTATTCTTGAGGAAGGATGGAGGGGGTTGGGATCAGAGTGTGGTGTTCAAGGGGATTTAGCTTTATTTGTAATATTATAACTTTGTAGCATAATTTTTTAAAATTTATCCTTATTGTTGGAAGTATTACAGATGTCCCTCCTTCCCCCCCCATTGACCCCATCTGGCCCCTTCTTCCCCCCTGCCCCACTCCAGTCCCCTTCCCAGGCCTTCATCGCACTATTGTCTGTGTCCACGGGTGATGCATATATGCATATAAGTTCTTTGGTTAATCTCTTCCCACCCTCCTCTCCCCTTCCCTCTGAAATACACATCTATTTGCATGCAGCAGAATTTAAATAGTAAAAAACCAGAGGCAACTTAAATCCCCAACAATATGGAATGAGTACATAAATAATAGTACATGCATATGATGGAATATTATATTGCCAATAATAATGTCTTCAGAAAAAATAATAATAGAAAAATGTTTATTGTATAATCTTAAGTGAAAAACACAGGGTCTAACATTGCATTTATAACATGATCTCAAATTTTAAAAAGATCATAAATGTTTATCTGTTAAGGGAAGATAAAGGGAAATACACTAAAATGCATGAATATCCTTGAGCTGAAAAAATATCTTTATTTTTTTATATTTTCTATTTTTCCAAAATTTTTACAATAAACATGTATCACTCTTATTTTAAAAATAATTGTTTTTCTAAGTATTAGCCTTTTTTCCTGCATATATTTTATTTTTGCAAGATATTGTGAATCTTTTCCTGTCATTATTCGCTTGTCTACATCATTTTAAAAGGCTGCATAATATTCCATCCTATGCATGTATCATAATTTCTTAACCAACCTCCTATTATGACATTGAAGTTATTTCAGATTTTCACTATAAAAGGGACTCCATGACAAATATCCTTATGTCAATATCTTTTATACAACTCTTTGTAATTTTGATAAGTTCCTAGAAGTAGAATTCCTGGGTCAAAAAGTAAACACATTTAAAATTTTGATAGCCACTGCTACATTATTTACTGGTAATGTATAAAAATACCTTTTCCCCATCCTTGCCAAACAGGTATTTTTTAATCCTCACCCAAGGATATTTTTCCATTGATTTTTAGGGAGAGAGATGGGGAGAGAAAGAGAGAGAGCGACAAACATTGATGTGAGAGAAACACATCAATTGGTTGCTTCCTGCATGTGCTCTGAGGGGTCTGGGAATCGACCTGCAATTCAGGTACATGTCCTTGACTAGGAATCAAACCCATGACACTTCAGTGTGAGGGTGGACACTCTCACAACTTAGAAACATCGGCCAGGGAATCACTAGGCATTTTTAAAAATATATATTTTTATTGATTTCAGAGAGGAAGGGAGAGGGGGAGGGCGATAGAAACATCAATGATGAGAATCATTGATTGGCTGCCTCCTGCACACCCCACACTGGGGATTAAGGCTGCAACCCAGGCATGTGCCATTAACTGGAATTGAACCTGGTACCCAGTCCGCAGGCCGATGCTCTATCCATTGAGCCAAACCAGCCAGGGCTCACTAGGTATTTTTATTCTTTTAAATATGTGTTAATATAGTAGGTGGAAGTGGTATCTTTGTGTTAATTCTTATTTCTTTGATTATGAGCGACGTTGGGTGTTTTCATTTTCTGTTTCTAGCCATTTTATTTCTTCTTTTATGAATATTTTTCTTTGTAATCAGCCAAAAACTCGAAAACACAATTTTTCACATGCACACAAAAGAATTGCATGGCACTCAGTGGAATCTGATGTTGAGAGTCTACTCTGGAAATGTTATTATGAAGAAGACAGTGGGCCTACGGAACCTTTGAATACTCCCATTGCTTTTGGACAACTGGTGAGACCTTTGGGTTCAAACAATGGCTGGCAGTGATGTTAACAGTGTTTACTGATCTACAGAAGCTACCAATGGTGCGGTGCCCCAGGGCCAACGACCACCCCCTCGTATCAAGAATTTCCAGATTAACAACCAGATTGTAAAGCTGAAATACTGTTATACGTGCAAGATCTTCCGGCCTCCCCGGGCCTCCCATTGCAGCATCTGTGACAACTGTGTGGGTGAGTAAAATCATTAGGGCATTGTCTGGGGGGAAAGGTTGAGTTGAAGAAGAGGGTCAGGGTAATTTTTTCTTGAAAAAATTAGTAGGGGTAGATGGGAAAGCTAGAATTAGACAGGAAACAAGCATCTGAACAACTGTAAATCAACTGTACTTCTGTAGATCAAATTGGAATTTAAATATCTGCCAGTCTAAAAAAAAAAACACAAAAAACCACAACCTTTTTGGTAAATGGGGAAATAAATGACCTATTGGGTTTTTGTTTTATTAATCCTCACCCAAGGATATTTTTTCCATTGATTTTTAGACAGAGTAGAAGGGATGGGGAGAGACAGGGAGAGAGAAACATTGATGTGAGAAAGACACATCAATTGGTTGGCTTCCGCACATGCCCTGAACGTGCTGAGGATTGAGCCTGCAACCGAGGTACACGCCTTTGACCGTAATCCAACCCGGGACCCTTCAGTCTGTGGGCCGACACTCTATCCACTGAACCAAACTGGCTAAGGCAAATGACCTGTTTTTCAAATCTATATTTTCTTTACTGGATCTGTTTCAAGTGGAACCCACCTTGCATAGGGGTCGAGGAGAGTCTACTGGAGGGCAGCATTGGGGAAGGAAGGACTTTGTAAGAAGTAGTATTCCCAAAAAGAAAGTTGTTAGCATTTATTGAGTTCCTACTATATACTAGGCACTATGTGAAGTGTTTTCCCTTTCTCTCATTTAAGGCTTGTAAGAATCCCAGGAGATAGGTATTATCCCCATTTTACAGATGAGGAAATAGGTGAAGCACCTTTATGTGGGTACATATAATTAGTAAGAGATGAAGCTGGAACAGGTATGATTCCCAAACTCTCATTTTTTCTTTCTTTGCTGCTGTTCCAAGGGTTTTGGGTGTATGTGTGTGCATAATGTTTCTGTGCTTTTAGCCACATGTATGTGGCTTAGTTGTAATCACTGCCTACTGTGTACTGAGCCCTGGGAAAGATCAGAAACAGTCAGTAAATGTGTCTATCAATAGGCATATATGATCAATTCCTTATATTATTACTAGGCTTACTTCCCGCGTTCTTTATATATGCCATAGAATAGGCCTGGGTACATTGTTTTCTTCTTATTAGCCAGTTCTTTAGACAAAGCTTGAAAATATATCTTACTTTATAGGGTAAAAAGCTACATGTAGGTAGGATTTTTAGAAATTTAAACCCATTTTATTTTTTTAACATATATTTTTATTGATTTCAGAGAGGAAGGGAGAGGGAGAGATAGAAACATCAATTATGAGAATCATCAGTCGGCACACCCCACACTGGAGACCAAGCTGCAATTTGGTCCTGTACCTTGACCAGGAATCAAACCATAATTTCCTGGTTTATAGGTTGAGGCCCAACCACTGAACCACACTGGCCAAGCAAATTGAAACCCATTTTAAATGGGCCAGGAAACTTAATGTTTCACGAATGTCTGATGTGAAGGTTTTCATAAAGAATTCCCTCTCCTTATTAATATTATTTTTTAAAAAATATATATTTTATTGATTTTTTAGAGAGAGGAAGGGAGAGGGATAGAGAGTTAGAATCATCGATGTGAGAGAAACACCGATCAGCTGCCTCCTGCACACCCCCCACTGGGGATGTGCCCGCAACCAAGGTACATGCTCTTGACTGGAATCGAACCTGGGACCCTTTAGTCCACAGGCCGACGCTTTATCCACTGAGCCAAACCGGTCAGGGTAATATTCTTAAATATAAAGAACTCATACAAATTGATTTTTTAAAATCCTCATCTGAGGATATTTTTTCCATTGATATTTTTAGAGAGAGTGGAAGGGAGAGAGAGAGAAACATCGACGTGAGAGTGACACATCGATTGATTGCCTCCTGCACATGCTGACCGGGACTGGGGATCAAACCTGCAACTGAGATATGTGCCCTTGACCAGGGATCAAACCCGAGACCATTTGGAATGTGTGCTGATGCTCTAACCACTGAACAAACAGTCCAGGGCACAAATTGATTTTTAAAAAAGAACCACTAACATTTCAGTAGAAATATGGACAATTTACAAAACAAAAAATACAATTAGCTAGTTAACTTGAAAAAAAATAATCCCTACTAAATATCAAAGAAATAAAAATTAAAGCAGGACCTTTTAAAATCTAGATAATAAGCAAGGAAAACCTCATAATGTTTAGTGCTGCATTCATAGGAGTGTAAATTGGAACAAACTTTTTGGAAAGCAACCTAATAAGATTGATAAAAACCTTAAAACATTTATACCCTTTGATGTCAATGATTACCTTTCTAGAAATTCCTAAGAAAATAACCAAGAATGTGGTAAAAGATTTTAGGTGTGGAAATATGTACCTCAGGATTAATATAATAATGAAAATTTGAATTTTCAACCAGTAAATAACCAGTAGATAAATGGTTGAATAAATTGTGGAACATTCATATAGGGGGCTTTTATGGGAAAACCTTATACCAGAAAGTGAAATGAAATAAAGCAGAAGACAGGCTATATGTATCAGTTAGACATTTAAAAAATATGAATATGTGTAAAGAGATATGAAAGGAAATACTCCAGAATGCTCTTAGTTTGTTATCTATAGGTTGTGGGATTATGAATGATTTTGTTTCCTTGTATTGCTTATAAGAAAAAAAGTGATTTAAAGTAAAGTAAAAATATATCTGTATAAACCTGCATTTCCAGTGTTTTTATATGATAGGTTTGTTTAGACTGCAGTGGTTCTCAACCTTCTGGCCCTTTAAATACAGTTCCTCATGTTGTGACCCAACCATAAAATTATTTTCGTTGCTACTTCATAACTGTAATGTTGCTACTGTTATGAATCGTAATGATATGCAGGATGGTCTTAGGCGACCCCTGTGAAAGGGTCATTCAACCGCCAAAGGGGTCGCGACCCACAGGTTGAGAACCGCTGGTTCAGAGTAAGACTTGAACATGTCATTCTTTTCTACATTTTCCTTCTCTATTCTGAAAAGATATATTGTAGCCCTTTAACTGGGAGAGGTATCATTCTTACAGTCTTATTATTTTTGTCAGTATACAGTTCATTGTCCTTTAAAAATGATACGCATTATTCTTTGTGCCTTTTTGGTTCATTAAATAATACATGTTCATTGTAGAAAATACAGGGAGTACAGAAAGTGTAAATAAAATCTAATCCCAAACTCACTCTCCATTTTGCTGTATTTCTTTTCAGCCTCACTCTTGTTTGTGAAATTAGATCACACATGATTGAGTTTTTATTCCTACCTTTGTCATTTAACATTATATCTTAAGCATTTTTTACATCTTTAGTACATGTCATTTGAATATTTTAGTTTAATGACTGTATATAATCCATCACATGGCTATAGTCTAGTTTTTTAAGGCAGTTTCCTATCATTAGATATTATTCATGATTCCATTTTATTCATTATTGTAATCAAAATTATTTAATATACAGATATGGTACAGTTAGAACCTTCATACATTTCTGGTGGGAATGTAAAATGGTTCAGCCACTGTGGAAAAGTTTGCCAGTTCCTCAAAAAGTTAAGATATGGTCCAGCAATTCCACTCTTGGGTATATACTTGCATTAGTCTGCTTGGGCTGCCATAACAAAATACACAGGCTGGGTGACTTAAATAACAGAAATTAATTCTGACATTTAGAAGTCCAAGATCAAGGTATTGGCAGGGTTGATTTCTGGTGAGGTTTCCCTCTCTGTCTTACAGGTGGTCACCTTCTTTTTTAAAAGTAATTTTTTAAAAAATATTTTTTTTATTGATTTTAGAGAGAGAGGAAGGGAAAGGGGGAAAGAGGAGAAAAACACGATATGAGAGAGAATCATTGATTGGCTGTCTCCTGCAAGCCCCACACTGAGGATTGAGCCCGCAACTCAGGCATGTGCCCTGACTGGCAATCTAACTGATGACTTCTTGGTGCATGAGACGTTGCTGAGGCCACTTTGTTTTTACATTTAACTCTTTAATTCATCTGGAATTCATTTTGATAAATAGTGTGAAGGGGAAAATTTTAAGTTTTCCACCAAATAGCCAATTGTCTCAGTGTTGTTTATGGAAAAGTACTTCCTTTCACCACCTGATTTTGTAATGCTGCTTTTATTAGACAGTAAATTCTTACACATTCTAGAGTCTGTTTCTGGCTATGCCACACCATTTTAAGTATTGTAATTTTATAGTCTTTTACTAACTGGAGGTTAAGAAAAACCACACTACTCATTTTTCAAAAATTGCTTGGCTATTTTCACCTATTTATTCTTCCTAACTTAGTAGGCCCACCTACTAAGATTTTTCTTTGGAAAAGCAAAGTCTCTGCTATTAACTGGCAGTGGGACATAACTCCTCAGTTCCTTAGTTTCCTCTGCAGTAAAATGGGGAAAAGAATATCTTCTTTTGCTCAACTACTAGGGCAGGGGTGGGCTACCCCTGGCACGCGTGCCAAACATGGCACGCCAGTAAACTTTTGCTGGCACGTGAAACCCTCTTATAATCTTCCATTTACAATTTTTTTCTTAATATCGACTTTTTTATTTTTCAGATAAATTCAGTGTTGGTGCATCTTAGATAAATAAATAATTTTACGTAACAAGTTATCTTAAAGACCATACACATGGCTGACTTTGAGATGCAG